GTAAGGAAGGAGGAGTCGTGTCATAGACGCCCAAGCCACACGGTCCACATAAACGGCCCGATCAGATCTGTTTCAGACATTTCGTCATACATACCGCCACACAACGGGCGCCTGTACAGCACAAGTACTTGAACACTGGCACGTCCTTCGCAGGAACTGCAATCATTCGGTCTTCACTTCGTCTACTGTGTCTCCTGTTCCGGCTGACCCATCCAACAAAACATAGGAGAAGCTTTACCACGACTCTAACCGTACCAGGGCGGAAGTCGCCGCGAGTCATTTGCCAGCGCTCAAGAATGGAGAGTCAGATGGCGAGTCAGCCTGCAATCACTACCCCGCAACGTACAGAAACGAGCTCTACGAAAATAAACACTACAAATGAAGAGACAGATTCTGTTGCAACGCAGAAAGATCCTATCCCTACTGTCGATGCGGCCGAGAAAGATGCCATCTTCAACTCCATCCACATTGATCCAGAGGATTCGCAGCTCATCGAGGACCTCTTCCGCATCTCAAAAAAGAGCCCTAAGCTTGTGCGGTCCACGGCGTACACTGCACCCGCCGACCCAAACATCGTACTTCGGAGTTGGAAGATGAACGAGTTCAAGTACTACGACGTGCCTTCACCATTCCCAACGCTTGCGAGAGGCTTGTTCACCCAAGAGATCAAGAAAGGTGACCAAGTGAAGCACCGGATCGTTGCGCGCGGTTATGACAAATTCTTCAATATCGGCGAGGTGCCATGGACACATGTGAGTGTATGCTCTCACTTCACCTTCTTCATACGCTGAGATATCATCCTTGAACAAGTGGGCATCACTTGAGAGCCACACAGGCCCTCCGTACACTCTTACCCTCAAGTCGAACGGGTGTATCATCTTCATAGCTGCGCTAACACCCACGAAGCTCGTCGTCACGTCCAAGCATGCGCTGGGCCCTCGAACAACACTCCCGAGAGTCACGCCCAGGTCGGCGAGCGCTGGCTGCGGAAGCATCTCGCCGATGCAGGAAAGACGGAAGAGCAGCTCGCAAAGACACTCTGGGACCAAAACCTGACCGCCGTCGCAGAGGTACATACACCCTTCCTCCACTCTCGCCACTGTCTAATACGTGCCACGAAGCTCTGCGATGACTCGTTCGAAGAACACGTCCTCCCATACGGCCCTGATCTGACAGGTCTCCACCTCCACGGCCTCAACGAGTGCACCAAGCGCTTCCGGACAATGGACCAACCCGCCGTCGACGCCTTCGCGCGCGAGTGGGGCTTCATCGTCACCAAATGCATCGTCCTGCACACCGTCCCCGAGGTCAAGGCCTTCACCGAGGAGATCGGGCGCACGGGCAAGTGGAACGGCGAGTCGCTCGAGGGTTTCGTCGTGCGCACGCGCGTCGTGGACCCGCCGACGAAGGGCGGCAAGCCCGCGAGCGCGTCGCCGTACGCACCCGGCTCGTCGTTCTTCTTCAAGGTCAAGTTCGACGAGCCGTACATGATGTACCGCGACTGGCGCGAGGTCACGAAGAGCCTCCTGTCGAAGGGCCCGCTCGTCGCGAACGTGCCGAAGGGGAAGCTGCGCAGGCCGGAGACGCGGGTGTACGTGGACTGGGTCATCGGCGAGATCAGGCGCGATAAGAGCCAGTTCGACACGTACGCGCGGGGAAGGGCATCATCGCCACGCGCGAGCGCTTCTTGAAGTGGCTGGAGAGCAACGAGGGGCGGTCGGCGGAGAAGACGGCGGAGGAGAAGCATGACGAGAGCGGTATGAACGGGACGACCGACTCGGATAAACAGTTCGGCAAGACGATCATCGTTCCGGTCGCCGTTCCTGGCGTGGGCAAGACGAGTGTCGCCGTCGCGCTGTGCCACCTCTTTGGATTCGGCCACATGCAGAGCGACGACGTGAAAGCGAAGAAGCCCGCGCCCGTCTTCATCAAGAACGTCGTGGGTCTGCTCAAGACGCACGACGTCGTGATCGCAGACAAGTGAGTGACTGCGTTAAATGTAAGCCCATCAGGACTGACGTGCACCAGAAACAACCACCTCAAGCAGCACCGTCAGCAGCTGCGCGAGGCGACGGCGAACATGAAGCCTCCCGTACGGCTCCTGGCTCTCAACTGGTCATTCGACGTCCCCCTGAGCACGATCCACCGCATCTGCGCGGACCGGATCACAGAGCGGGGCGAGAACCACCAGGCCCTCGTCGCGGGCGCGCACGAGACCGTCGTCTGGCAGTTCCTAAAGAACGCGGAGGAACTGACGGACGACGAGGTCGACGTGTCCGTCGAGATGGAGTGGGAGGAGAGCCTCGAGGACTCGCTCGCCCGCGCGGTAGACGCGTGCGTCCGGATCCTGGGCGTGCAGCGGCCGGACCAGGAGAAGTTCGGGGAGGCGCTGGCGGTCGCCCGGGGCTACAGGGCACCGACGACGAAGAGGAAGGCGGCGGGCGAGCAGGGGAAGAAGAAAGAGAGGAAGGAGCCGCCGCCGAGGTACTACGGCATCCTCGCGGAGGTGGACCTGGAGGGCGTGCTGGGGAAGCGGTTCAAGGAGGCGGATGCCCCGCAGGCGGGCAAGACGTTCTGGGAGAGGCTGGCGAAGGGGAAGCGGGTGGCGGCGAGGCCGCACGTCACGATCGTGCACTCGAAAGCGCTGCCGGAGCAGACGGCGCTCTGGGAGCTCTGCCGCGGCTTGCAGGACGAGGCGCCGCCCCTGTTCAGCTTCCGGCTCGGGCACGTCGTGTGGAACGAGCGGATCATGGCGGCGACCGTGGTCGACTTTGCGGTGTCCCTTGACGACGGCAACGCGGCAGCGGAGAAGAAGGGTTTAGACTTCGTGTTGAAGCTGCCAACGGACGTGAAGGACAGGATGCATATCACGGTGGGGACGCGGGACAAGGAGGTGGCTCCTGTGGAGGCGCGGTCGCTTGTCTGGGACTGGAAGCAGAAGGGTGATAGGGTGGGGGCTGGGGTGGGCTCTGTAGAGCTCAAGGACGTGTGGGTGAAAGGGAGGGTAAAGGGCTTGATCAGCTAGGCCCCATAGTGCGCCTGGTGGAGGATCTATGGACTTTGTTCGCTAGCAATCTGGAATACATGGTCGAAACACTACTCAATATCTATCACATCTGTACGACCTCTCCGTTGCACCGCACATTATGTACACTCCAAACCAAATTGTAAAAATATAGCCGGTCGCAGCTCGCTGCATACATCCTAGTTTGTCTTCGGCAGAGGTGTCTGGTCTGGCGCCACTAAGATCGTCGGGCGCTGTATACGCTGACGTGGAATCCTCTGCCTCCACGGGTCTTTCGTCGGCACGTCTTTCTCAGCTCTTTGCAAGCACAAGCCCCCGCCCTGATGGGCGCCGCACTCACCCTCCTCCCGCCGCCTGCCGCCCGACGACCTGACAAAGCGAATTGACTCGTTGCGTGCAAATTTCGCAAACGAGCGGGACGGCATTGACCGCGTCTGATTGATCCCTCGGGCAACATTAGGCACCCATTACTGAGTAGCTGTCAAGGTGTGGCGTACGTCCTTCTGAATTGCGTTAGAAGTATTGAATCATGCAGACTTAGGAAATTTATCTTAGCAGCTTGACTCGACGCAAGCGTCATGGAAGCGGTTGCGCGCTGTACGAGTAGGCAACAGTCCATGAGCTGGCGGTCATGAGGAGCTATACGGGGCATGTATATAAACGAGCTCAAGGATCAGTAAACTCCAAACCACTTACCTTCGACTCCAAGCAGCCCGACAGCACAATGTCCGACGTTGAGGGTACGTTAGCTCCGCAAGGCTCGGCGAGGACTGACCACTCAGCTGCAGGGAGCTGCCACTGTGGCGCTATCAAGCTGCGCGTCGTCGGCGGATTTGGCGACAATGCTACGGCCATCGTGTGTCACTGCACCGTTTGCACCACCCTCTCTGGAAGTCGTAAGCCGCTTTCATCCGTACCAGTGACTGAGTCACGGCAGACACACTCACTTCTTACTCGCACTGGCAGTGTTCTCCTACGTCGCTCCCATCCCGCGCAGCAGCCTGCAAATCCTGAAGGGCGTGAGGAAGGGCTATAAGCAGCCGAAGTCAGAGAACCTGTCCGGAAAGCAGGTCACCCGCCACTTTTGTGGCGACTGTGGCACGCCGCTGTGGGCAGAGTTCGAGTCTGCTCCGGAGGAATTCTACATTAAGCTTGCACTCTTTGGCAACAGGCTTCCTCCTGGTGCCGAGGTTTTCTGGAAGAATGTCCACGGTGGGTGCGCTAGTACGAGGTTGTAAGGGCAGAGTCTGAGATTCATTCGTTGGCCTTACAGATTCGTGGCAGAAGCCGATCGTCGCTCCGGAGGCTGTATTTGATGCATTATCTGCCTGAAGACAGCGTCGACTCGGCTGAATAATGGCCGAGGGACTTTCAAGTCGGAGGGGTGCAGACGATGTGCCCTGTTTCAACACAGGGGTAGCCTGCCGGTGTCTCAATGACAGGAAATGTGACCGCGGGATTGAATGAAAGAAATGTCTGCAGACCTACTCTGATTGATAAACTGGTATCATATAGTACATTAGACAGGTCTGCAGAGACTGGCATTGTCACCGACCACCTGTCACCCGAGATTGCCATGTCGAGTCGAGTTCAGAGTACACCGACACCTACGTTTGAAGTCGGTCATGTTGAAAGGATGCCCTGCTTCAAGGATCGAACCTGGCTTACCTCTGTATAAGTCTATATGTGCCCGACACTGTCGGCTATGCCAAGATTCGGATTGGGATTCGGATATAGTAGCACAAATTCTCTCCAGGTGTCGCCGAGCCCGGTGTGCCATGGCAGGTCGTCCCAGATGTCGCCGAATGCGACCTTGGCGCGAGCGCGAAGGGCGCTCATGCAAGGTACGCATAAGGTGGGTAGACCCGTATTGATAATCTTAGGGTTCTGCCTGTCGTATCCATCGAAGAGCTTGTCCCAAGGCTCAAGCACCCAGGCTGCCGCGTTCCCTATTGACGCCGCTCCTATGGCTCCGGTGCGAATGTTCTCGAATATGTGTAGACAGGAGGCCTCGGAGACGCACTTGTAGAGGGGGTGAACTGCTTCATGGATCTCATGCGTGAAAGCACGAGCGAGTTCGACTTTCGCTTGGATGCATCTCAGCAGATCGCCTCGATCCAGTATATCAATTGTGCCGTCAGAGACGCGCCATCCAGAAGATCGTGGTTGGGAAGCTGGCAGCAGACGTATGACGCGGAAGGTAAGATGGAAGGCGTATTGGTTAGACGGGCTAGATTGACGGCAGTTATCGCTCGAGGGGAGTAGTGACGCTGTACGTCGGTCCATTCGGAGAAAGTCGTGGGATAGTGTTTCTTCAACTGCCATATGGACTCCTCCAAGAGGTCTCCAATGCCGTACTTTTGTGCAAGGCGAATTCGGTAGGACAAACAGTCCAACTCGGCATCGTTCTCCAGCATGTACCTATCATCCACCCAGGTGGCTATCAGCATCTCAGGACGAATAAAAGACACAATGTACGAGCGTACCTCTTGCCGCACAGCAGCACATCAAGTAGCTCTCTAAGAGCAATAGGATTGTCGGAGAAATGTACAATCGGGCAGCCGCAGACTCGCTGACCGTCCAGTGGCTGAGGGACGGAAAAGAGGTCGCGGAGTACCTCGGATCGCTTCGCCAGAAAGCCTCGATACACGCGAAAGCCAACATTCTCGGCGACCAAAATGACGTTCCCATCCTCGTACCAGAACTCCTGGTCGCGCGTGAACTCCTCATTCTCGCTAGGCTGAGCAGCGGCAGTTGCATCGTCTGTCTCCAATCGGAGCCGTTTATGACTGCTTCCCTCCAGCTTGAAGGTCATGGCATCACTGCGTCGAAATGAACGACATTGGATCTTGGAGAGTATACTGCATACCTGGAACTATCGCGCTTCATCGAGGGACACTATCAGGGCGGCTTAGGGCGGGCCGCCGTACCAATACCACTTCAGAGGAGGGCGACCTATCACGATCACGTGCACATGTTCTCCGCGGCAGCTGTCTGTCCATCGCCTCATGATCTGGTTCACTGGCACTTCGCTAGCGTTGCCTGTCGAATATTCGACGCGCTCAATATATGTGCAGTATACATGCCAGTGATCCACTGGCACGATACTTTACACTCATGTCACGGTCGCGGCCGCGTTGCCCGAGTACTACGTGCTAGTAGTAGGGCATTTATAGCGCAGCAGCGCTACCAACGAGAGTCTTCAACTTTCCATGCAGTAGTATGGTGACGACCCGACGAGTGGGGTGGCTTTGATTTAGATTTCATCCACCATCAATGCCTGCATCGCGCGATGCTGTATCGCAGTCCACAACGCCAGCGCCAGGCTCGACTCGGCTTGCGCGGTACGTGTAACAATCAATAGTTCTCGTGCGGAAATTGATGCACATTAAAGCATGTCATAGGACGAATTATGCTCGATACATCTTGAAAAAATTAGGGACACTGGGAAGGGATGGGTGTCAGCTTGGAGTGTCTTGCATCTACCAAAGCGGCTCACCAATAGACTGTCACCCATCTGCATCAGCATCAAGGGTCCCAATGCTCAGGCTGAATCTGCCAGTAGCCCACTTCGATGCCCATGACCCAAGGCAGTTCGCACCACCATTCAACATCCACGTCACTGACCGCATTGATGACATTTTCCAGGCAGCGTCTGCATGGTACCGCAGCAGTGCTATGTCTGGTCCCAGAAATGTTGCCGCGTGCATTGAGAAATTCGCGCCACGGTTCAAGGATCCCAGGTTCCACGTTCCCAGTAAACAATCGCCTGATGGCCGCCTCGCGAATGAGATTGAAGGCCTTATCACATGCGTCACCAGCAGAGAGGCAGCTGCGACGAAATTTCTCGTGGATCATGTCCATTTCCGAACGGGCATACATGACTTTCGCCTTCATGCATTTAACCAGATCACTCCGGCTCAGGGTATCTGCCGTGCCATCGGAGTGAACCGCGCCTTCGAGCAAGGTATCATCTGGAAGCTGACAGCAGGCATAGAGAGCGGTGGGAAGAATGGATGGAGTGCTGGTGAGATGCGCCAAGTTCACCGCCGTAATGGCCCGAGAGGAGTGAGGTCGACGTATTTTTTCCCATTCCATGAAGGATGTCGGATAGAGGGCCTGTAGTTGTTGTGTAGATTCCTTCAAGAGGTCCTCAGCTCCATACTTGTGAGCGAGGCGGATCCGATACGACAGGGCGTCCAGTTCAAGGTCGTTCTCGGGACATATCTGGGCATCCAAACCAATGCTACGTATCAACGGGACAACGAAGCACGTGTAATGTATTGACGCACCTTTTCGCATACATCAACGCACTCAACAACTCTCTCAGAGCAACCGGGGTATCAGTCAGTTGAACGACTGGGCAACCGCAGACCAACTGTCCGGCCGGCGGCTGCCATTGACTCGGAGGGACAGTGGACAGTTCGCGAAATATCCCACAGTGTTTCGCTAGCAGACCTCGATAAATGCGGAAGCCGACCGTCTGTGCGACGAGGATTATACTGCCGTCTTCGTACCAAAAGTCCTCGTCGCGTGTCCACTCCAGATCCTTGCGCTGGTCGAGCATGGACGCATCGCTGCTGTCCGTGTCCGACAGCAGCTGTGCATACCCCGTATGGCCGCACTTATCAGTTGTAGGCATCATGCCGTCTCTTCGTTCATATAGGCTCAGTGACATACCCTTCGACTCGACCGGCCCTACGTACCTGGAGCTACTGCAAAGTTGTATGATCCGAGATGACTGGTACGTCCAGTGATGTCAAGGTCAGCCAGAAGGATATCAATATCAGCCAGGGGAAGCTTACGGCCTGGACGTTGGGCGCTAGACGTGCGCACGAACGTTGAGAGTCGTGTCAATGTTGCATCGGTCCCGAAGTCGATTCGTCAAACGCGAGACGCGTTGTCGCGGTCACGTGAACTCTTGATGACAGGCGTCACGGTGCACAGTCCAGACAGCATCATGATGTTCCCGCTCTCTGTTTGGCCTTGTAACATTTGAGGATATGCTCAATATGTATGAAAGTGACGAGTCGAGCAGGCTCAAATCTGGAAAACCTCTGCGTTGCGGGAGGCAAACGTGTTAGCATTACCGGTCAGCCATAAGTTACTAACTCGAAAACCCTCCCGCCAATAATTTATTAGGCGAATTACGGGGCCAGCGCATCTCGTGGTCTGTCACCATTCACCAGGTATACTAACTTCTGACCCGTCTGACCTCATATCTGGCCTTATCGCCGTCTCTGAGGAGGACGACGACGCGTCCCGTGCCCTCCTCCCAGTGGTCCATCCTGCGCAGTTTCTGGCATTTCCACGCGAACGTCGCCGCGACCTCTTCGTTCTTGCGCATCCTGCTCCGATCTGACGGGGTCACCGGCAGGCGCGTGCGCTCTGACGGCGCGAGGGGTATCGTCGCTGCATGCACGCCAGACGAGGAGTTGTGCACGAACGAGGCGGACGGTGGCGCGAGCGCCGCCGGAGCGACCTCGTAGAAGAAGCGCACGCCGTGGAAGGTCGCAAGCTGGGGGAAGTGCGCGAGCACGCTGGCCCACTCTGTAAAGTTCGTCGCGATCGCCGGTGCAGGCCGCCCGGCTCGATCCACGCCCATTGCGGTCCCCGCAGCCCCATGCCCGTCGATCCGCTTGCCGACGTCCAACCAGGTGAGCTGCGGGGCTGCGTCCGAAAGCTTTCTGACCTCGTCGATGTCGGCATAGTTAACGAGTTCTATCCGTTTCACGGTATGCCCGAATGCCCCCAAATTGGCGAGGAACACGTTCCCACCGGGCCCTGATAATCTCAATCCCTTCAGTGTCTCGAGCGGACGGCCCTCCGGGTGAGCCTTCGTGGGCAATATCGGGCAAGCAAGAATGGCACTCGCTACCTCCCGGCTGGCCTTCAGCTCCTTCAGCCTCGGCAGGGTCTCATCCGCCAAGCAGATCGTCGCCGCCCTCGCCGCCCCGAAAGAGATATCCAAGTGGAGGACCTCGAGCTGCACATGCGCAGCGAGGAACGATGCGACGGCGTCCGGGCCAGCAAGCGGCGAGCAACGTAGGTTGGTGAGGGCCAGAGTACGCAGGGTGGACCAGCGCGCACAGAGCAGGAAGTCGTCTGCTGCGGGTAGATGGAAGCCCACCGCGCGCCGGGGCTGGTATGCGATGCTCAGGGACTCGAGTACCGGGCAGTTCGTGAGCATGCCGGAGATGCGAGTCATCTCGGGATTCTTGGACGCGCCATACGTGTATTTGGTCGACTGCAGGCTGATCGTTTTCAGCGCGGGCAGCTGTTCGCGATCAGCCCATGCTCAGGACACTGTGACCTGTCGTCACTCACGACGTACTGGCGCCTCTTGTTCTTGCTGGTTTGTCCCTCGCTCGCAGGCAGCTCGCTCGGCGCGAAGACAAGATTGTCGTTGATCTGGACATTCTTCAGGGCCTGGCACTTGCGGAGAGTCGGCCAGACGAGATCGATCGAGATCGGCGAATGGCTACACGACCACACGAATGACTCGAGGGCGGTCATCCGCGTGAGGGCGGAGACGAGGATGCGCTCCTGCTTGTCGTGCATGCCCAGCTCATCATCTGTCGACTCCAGGTCGGTGTCTGAGGTGAGAATGTCAGAGGGGACAGACTCGGGCTCCGTGCCTCGCTCGTCCATGATCTCGAGCCGGCGTACATTGCGCGCGAGGCCGCGATGGACAGCGAGGTGGTTCCACACCGCGATCCTGCTGATCTTGCAGCGCACGACGCGGTATTCGAAGTGCCTCGGGAAGATGATCCCGTGCAGCCGCTTGCACGCGAGCGCAATGTTCAGCAGGTCGCGCTTCTCGTCGAGATGGAATACGATCGCGTCAAGGATCTCCGTCGGCTGGCGCGTAAGCGTCCTCCTCTGCGGGGCCAGCCCAACGAAGGGCTCCACAATGGTGAGGAGGTGCAGCGAGAGCCGGTGCTCCTCCGGCGTGAGCTTGTACGCGCACCCGCCGATACGCGCGGGCAGCGACGCGAGGAGGGTCCGAAGGACGTTGAGCGCTGCAAACGGGTCCGTGCGATCATACGACGATGGATTGGTGTCTAAAGAGGGGTGAAGAGCCTTCCGGGCACGGCCCTTTGCAGCAGAGGATGGCCCTCGCGCCTTGACCAGCATCGGGCGCACCACGACGGTCGCCATGGTTGACTGCAGGACAGGACGCGGACGCGCCCGTGGACGACGTAGTCGGTCCCGAGAGATACGGAGTGACTCGAGTCGATACTCGCCCATCTCCGCGAAAGAAGCTTCGGCCACTAGTGTGATGGGAGAGCGTTTGTCGCGGTTTGTGCGATCAGGAACGATGATGATATGGGACCAGGAACATCCCACGCTACGTATCAGTATCGTTGTCATCCTAAACGACTTGTGTACCGTTGATCAAAGCGAACAGGACGTTACAGAGGTGGAAAGACACGCTCACCTTACGCGTTGCATCGAAGTTGTCATTGACATAATCATGTAGTCGACGGACCGCAAGTCTGCCTGTCAGAATTCGAGATGTCTGAAACATTGCTTTATCAGTTTACAGTGTGGTGATTATACTCTGAAAACAGTACAGAGAGACGTCCGAATGCACCAGCGAGAGCCCATAGAAAACCCCAGTCATCACAAGTATCCGACAATAGATCACATACGCATGCACCGCATACTACACTACACTGGCGATGCGTCCATCCGCGCACTAGTACCGAGTATAGAGAGGGAGGGGCGTGCGTTCTCTATTCCAACGCGATGGTTCCATTCCGACGAAGGAGCGACGGCAGTTATGACTTGACGTCGGGGGCGATGACCTCCTTCTCGATTGAGCCCGCGTCCGCCTCGGGCGTGCCCTGCTCCAGCCCGTCCTTGCGCACGTCCTCGACGTACACGACCTGCTCGTCCTC